AAAAAAAAAAAAAAAAGTGCATGACCATATAAAATTTAATAAGAACGTATCTACATTGATGGAGACTTAAAAATGATGATTTTGCATTTTACATTGATGATAACTTAATATATAGTTTGAATTACTTATAAGAAATTCAAGTATATGAAAACACACGCTAAAAGATCAAATTTCTTTATTTATTATTATTGATCACATATATGCAACTTATGCAGTTATAGAAAATAAGTAATTATCATTATTATTTTTTTTTATAATACAAGTTATACAATTCTAATAAAATGTGATGCGAAACAGAAAATAATAATACTAATAATAATAATAATAATAATAATAATAATAATAATAATAATAATAATAATAATAAATTAACCATTAATTTTAAAATACAAAACCTTCTATTTTTTTTCCTAATCAAACATGGCATGATTAATTTCATTATTATAAAAATTTTCAAAAATAAATATAGGCAAGTTTTTTATAAATTTTTAAGTCTTTTGCAGGTAAACGGGCTGGTTGTGGGTTTCTTGCACTAAATTCCAACCCGACCCTACCCGAGGTTTGGATAGAAAATTTTTACCCAAACCTCTCAACCCACCCAATAGGTATACCAACCCAAGAATGTGGGTAACCCGATCTTATGAATTTTATTGACATCCTTATAATAAATGCATATAAGCACCACAGATGCAAAGTTTTGTATGAGAATGAATCTTGGTTGGCTAGATTTTGTCCGTCAGTGCATAGCACCACTACACATACGAAATTTTGTATAAAAAATGAATATTAATTAGCTAGGTCAGTTGTCAGTCAATGCATAAAAAGTCGAGGCTCGATCGACCTCGACCTTTCGAGGAAAGTTCGGGTAAGGGAGACCAACCAGAGAAGTTAGATACAAAGTTGTCAAACTTTTGGGGGGCGACTGGATAAAAATAAAATCGGTTTTGATTGGATTTAAGGGTTATAGTGATAAGTAAGTTGATTGAATGGATGATTAAGTGAAATTTTGACTTTGTATTTAATTATTATTTAAAATATAATGATTAAAGTTAATGTGATGTAAAGATAAAATAGAAGTTATTGAAAATGATATGTATTTAAAATATACGAGTGAATGAATAGTGAATTGGTTTAATGATGTTGATAATATTGAGGAGATGTGAGTTGAGTTAATTTTGATTTAAAGTTTGAGTTAAATATTTGTCAGGACAGTGTCACAACTGGTTAATTTTTATAGTCAATCAACCCCTTGGAATTTAGAAATGATTTATTATACCAAATCTCACTGTATTATGCTAAATGTGTGGGTTATCACCGTGTATTTAAAAAAAAAAATCGTTACACACCTTTATATTTAATGTCTTCATGCACATTTGTCATTTTTGCCAAATAAATCAAGAGAGTAGGATATGGGGAGGGAAAAATCGTGCTATCATTAATTAAGTACAAAAAGAGTTGATGCATTTATTAAACTATATATAAAGAAAAATGCACAAATTTCGTATAATATATGGAGTCCTGTATATTTTACCATTTAGAAAATTCATACGTTTAAAACTAATTTAATTATCCATAAGTTTTTTTTAATCATAAAAGTACAAAAATGTTGGCATTTGACTGAATGGTTCCTTAAAATTTTGAAATGGGGGAGAAAGTTTCAAAAATTCAGAAAATAACAAACTTCGCCGTCTGTGGGACTCGAACCCACGACCACATGGTTAAAAGCCATGCGCTCTACCGACTGAGCTAAGACGGCTTGACGTTGAAATATCACCATTTCATTTTTTCACAATTCTTTTAGCATTACGTTAAGCAGTTACAAACCCGAATGATTCATGGCCCTTCATCTTCTTTTATTTTATTTGGAATGAATACAGGAAATTTGACACAATAAGCATTTTATTATTTTCGTTAGTGGCATTCATTAATCCCCTATATATAATTCTCGAATGTGTTGAATTTAAGTGACATGCTCGCATGATTCGGGATCCTATGTGTCAATTTCATACTTTATTATTTGGGTGGGATGGATTTTAATTTTCCAATAAAAAAATAATTAGGTTCGGATTACTATAAATATGTTGATTTATTTATGATCATTTTCGATATATTAATTGTATTTTAATATCATTTTCTATTATAATTATTGATTTGTAAATGTATTTTAAAAGTTAATAACTTTTGTATTTCTTATCGATTTTACATATATAATATATCAAAGTACTCATCTTTTGATGAACTTGGATTTGACATCCATATTGTATATATAAAATAAGTAAATTATATTTATATTCATAATAAAAAAGGTATTTATTAAAATTAATTAGAAAAATAAAATTATTTCTCAATTAGTATATTTATGTTTAATGTATATGTTATAAGTTAGAAAATTTATTATAATATAACACAGGTAAGTCGCACAAGTAACAAGTATCATACTAATATATATATTTTATAATG